TGTTTCGTTAGACCCAACTGATAGAAAAACCAGACAAGCTTTTGGCCGTGCAAGTCTTTGCTTGGGGCATTTAGGAGCAGCCAGTGAGCACATTCCTCTATGGCCTCGTGCGTGGGCAGCCTCCCGATGGAGGTGTCTGCAAGGTCTGCGCTTTGTGAGCTGAAGAAATGCTTCTGATAATCCATAACTTGCCTAACAAGGGCTCCCCATGCAAAAATGGTTGTTTGTCTTCAAACAAATGCTTTTGGAGAGCAATTTTGTGGTAACTCACTCAATGTTACTGATCCTTATTAGATTAGAAAAGGACACGCTTTCCCTCCAGGAAAAGTATGTAAGTGTTGGAATTTCTAACATTTGAAATGATTGAAACTGAGTGGTTTGAAATGGTAATTTTTCATATAGCTGGAATTTAAAAGATGACAGTTCTCTTTCCCATGTCCATTCTCATTATTTATCAGAACTTAAGGCATGATTTACATCCACAGCAAGTAAAATGGAATGCCCGACTCCTTTTAGGCCGCTGCCTCCCATCTCCTCAACTGCTGCGGCTCCAGCCTTACCAAACACCTGCACTGCCACCTTCTGCCTGTCTTACAGATCACAGGTGAATTTCCACCGTGATTTTTTTTCCACATTCATTATATATGTCCAAGGAAATCTTGGAATGCCAAGAAGAAACCATGTGTGCACATGCACGGTCAAGATGGTCTGTAAATTGATTTTTGTTTCTAGCCGCTCTCTATTACAGATGACTATTGCCCTATATATAATTCCAGCTTTGATTTAGGGGAAGGGAACCCTACACTGTTGCTCCCCATGACCCAAAACACTAAAATACTTTGTTCAGCCACTATTAAGCCAACATAGTGGCCAGTGATTAGCCACAAGCATTTTGACAGGTTTGCTCAACAGCCTGGCTGATACAGGCAGCATCTGAAATAACCAATGGACTGGTAGAAGACAAAGCTTAGACCATCAGTTAGTATAAATCAAGATTTCTTACTTGACTTTGGAGAAGCTCCCCTGATTCATACCCAATGGTTATGTGTTTCAAGTTATCACATCAGCTGTGCTAGTTGTGTCTGCTTCTACAGTGGCAAAGGAGAAGGAAACCCAAGTGGCGCATGTCTATGGCTTACGGATGGATGAAAAATGTCCCCCTTTATTTTTCTTCTTCTTTCTTTTCAGTTGAAATATGAGTTATATACAAAGCTGGTTTGAGAAAAAAGAGAAGTTTCTGAAAGCCAAATGAACCCAGATGTACTTTAAACTCTTTCACGTTGCTTGTTTAAAAGACTTCTTGGTATTTTTCCTTTCCTGGCTAAGGGAGGGGTGCAAAAGTCACCCTCTGTTCAGGAAAATAAATGCTCCTCATGAAGATGCTAATTCCTGCAGCAGCCAGCCCCACGCTGAGTGGCACTTCGAAGCAGGAGCAGAGTCTCAGGCCCCAGCCCTGTTAACCTCTGAAACCAAGATGGGCTCAACACTGTCTCCTGGAAAGTGCCAGAGCACATTATTCAATATCTAAAACCCAACCTTTAACAGAAAGCCACTACTTGCAGCCTTGAGAGACTACACAAGCAGGAAAAGGTTGGAAAAATTTCCCTTGCATTGTAAACACGATTTCCCTCAGCGCGCTGCGGCATGACTAAGGGAAGAGTGGCATCTGGTGTTCACCGAGCCGTCTCACAGCCACCGCTTCCCCGGTGGGTGCTGGCAGGCTTCGCCGGGCGTGGGAAGCATCCAGCTCCTCACATGCAGGTATCTAGTGGCACCTGAGACCTGCAGGATGTTGAAGACCTCCATATGAGCCTCCAAGTGTGATCCAGGCCATAGGGGAGACTCAAGCCCATCTGAACGGCAGCTAGAGGTTTGGACGGTGCATCAAACAAGAGAAACCCGAACTTGTTTCTAGCGAAGAAGGTAATCGCTTTTGTAGGAGGATGAATTCCCCGCTCTCAGGACCACGGTGGTGATGCAGCATCACCAGGGAGCCTTTGAGTTGGATGCTGTTTTTATTAAGTCTCTATTCCATCTTTCTCAGTGGAGAGGAAGCCGCTGCTGCTGAGGTGCCCTGGTCCATTTGGTGAGGCAGCCTGTCCACCCAGGGAGGCCTGTGACACTCAGTCTGTGCTGCAGCAGCCCCAGGCTGCGACGCTCAACTGTGTGTGCCCGACTTGTTTTCACCGTCTGAACGCCTCCTCAGATTAATCTCATGTTCTCTGTTTGAGACCCAAAATACAAATGCTGCCCAGGAGCCTTTCCCCCACGAGGGATGTTTAACTTGCTCAAAATATGGAATGAGTTTCATCGGGAGATGTTTATTTGCGCTTCTTTCCGTATCTTTGTACTTGCACTTAAACAGGATAGTCCCACCGTACTGCTGTATAGACATCGGTATCTTTTCCTGTGATAGAGCCTAAGTAAGTCTTTTAAACACCTCTGACAGGCCAGTATCACCAGGCAGCTGGGCAGTAGCTGAACCTTACGGTGACTGTGTGCCACCTCTGGGTACCAGGTGGAGGGTCCTCTACTGCTGGTCCCCAAGACACAGCCAAAGGCTTGCTTGGAGACAAGCTAAGCTATGTTTCCTTCTCCTGTCAGCAGAGGAAGCCCGAATCTGAGCAAAACAAAAGTTTAAGATATGTGTCTCCCTGGTAATTTCTACGCAAATTAGAAAAGGCAAATTACACTCTTAATTTTACTAACTGAAGTTTAGTTTATCGGTCTTCTACCTCAAGTGCACAAAAGACAGAGGGTGCTTCCTACTGAGAACAGAATGATGAACTTGAGCTTGGACCTCTGTGGAAACTACTTCTGCTGGTTTCTACAGTTTTTCAAGTTGCAGATTTTCAGAAGTTCTGGCATCCTTATACTTAACCGAGGACTGTATTGCAATATTTGCGTGTTACCCCATGGCCAGTTTTATCTGTGTGCTGGGACTGATAGACCTTTTTCTGTTCATCTTGTGATCGGTACATAACCTGACACACAAGTTCCTGAGCCTGGTTACTCCTCCCCGCTGCGCAAACGTGAGCAGCTCTGCTCTGATCCGACGCTGCTGTTAATCCCTGCTCCTCCCCGTGCCGGTGCTCAGGAACTTGGCACTTTCCCTGCGTAGGGCCTTACTTCGGTAGCTAAACTCATTCAGAGATCCTAATTATATTGTCCCTTTTCAGCAGTTTCTGTTCTATTAAGTTACAACAAATTGCATTTTGTTGACATCAGAACCGGTTTCACACCTACAAGCGGCAGCAAGGGGTGGTTCTGCAAAGGCGCTGCTTAACGTCAACCTCCATCGCCAAAACAAGCAGCACCACAGTTAACAAGATTATCTCTTCTTCTCTCCCACAAGATTTCAGAACTCTTCAGGTGGTTTTACGTAACATGTGGTACTATAAAGCGATAACGTCCCAAGGGTTGACTTTTGGGTGGTGCTGTGTAGTTTGGCACAGTGTTCCTCGGACTGCCGGATCTCTCTGTTCTGCAACACTTTGTTCAAATCAAACCCTGGAGTTGCCATGAACTGAAGTTTATTTTCCATAAAAACGTGGGAGGTTTTCCAAAGTGCAGCTGAATTTCTGCTAAAAAAAAATAAATCAATGGGAACTGGACACCTAACTCCACATCTCACTGAAATTAAATGCAATCCCCATCATTTCTTTGGTCCTAGGCTGGCAAACGACCCTGCTCTTGCAAGTCAACGGGCGATTGTAAGCGTATGGAGAACAGGTCGCAGAGGCATATGCTCTACAGATACCCCAACCCTTTTGCTATCAGCAGTCAAGATAAATGTTGTTGCCTGAATAGGGTTACAGAGAGAGTAAGAAATGGTGGTTTTGTAATGTGTTTTGTTTATTAAACTCCGTTTTAACTGATGTCCTAAGTTGACAAAAATGTTTCCCAGGAAGACTGACAAACAGAAACAATTCATAAATATATATATAAATTTCAAACACTGTAGAGATAAACAAATAAAAGCTCTGTTTCAGGAGGTCCTGTGTAACCAGCATTTGCAACTGGACAATTAGCAGCACGTGTGTTAACCAGTGAAGACTTTCCACTTGTTTTTAAAATATAAAATCCAATGTTTTAAAATTATTGCTTGTTATCAGACAAAAAAACAACATATAAAGGGTGTTCCTTCAAAATTCAGTAACAGCAGGGATGGTGTATATTGGCAGTACATGCAGCTTTATAGTGGGGGAGTTTTAATGCAATTGAGACCAAAAATTTCAGAAATAATTAAGCAATCTGAGGATATTACAGGAGCCAAATTCTCAGCAGGTCTGATCTTGGCACCCTCCTAAAATCTACCTTCTTTTAAGATGCCAGGCTGAGCACTCCGAACCAGTGAGGACAGAGGACACAGCACCCAACTGAGCGCTGCTCCAAGGCTTTGTCGCCCAGCACTAACTCCTCTCCCGGCTTCATTGCAGCTCCTGCCTCTTCACTGAATTCCCTCTGACCTGCCTGGCGGGGCTGCAATGGCCTGCGGGTGAGGACAAGGACCAGTGCACAGAGAAATGTCACAGACTTGTAGACAACTGAGGTATTTTTCCGCCCTCGCTGGTCCTCCTGGCTAGCAGGATCGAGGGAGGGGACAGTGGCAGGTCAGCGGGAGGTGGAAACGTGGATCTCCTCCTAGCGCTTGTAACTAGAGGCATCTCTACCTTTGCAGCTACTGGTAGCAACGCCTTGCGTGGCAGATGGCCCCCTGCCTATCGCCTACACTACTCAGCTAGCGGTCTCCCACCGGGGCTACACTACGGCAGTTCTTGCTCCCTTCTGCTCAGGAGGACCTGGGGCCAGCATCTGCCTTTCCACGCCCTCCCGGTGGGGCACGGCTTGCTGACCTCCTTGCTCTGCTCCGGCTGGCCCGCTTGCTTCTCTGCAGGAGAAGAAGGAGCGGCACTACTTGCGCTAACTCCTCGGCAGAGGAGCCCGGTACCGGAGGGGAAGAAACTCGCTGTCCGTCTCGCGCCAGCGAGGCACACTCCTCAGGGCATCTTGACAGAGATACACTGTGGGACCTTCCGGCTATCATCCGCTCTTTCCACGCTGGGTCTCTTCGGATACACCACGCTGGCCATCTTGAAGAACTCATCCGCAGCATCCAGAGCTATGAGCCGATCCTGCCAAAGCAACAAGGTTTTACTGTCACTGCAGGCTGCTTCAGGCATCTCCCTGGTCAGGGTCCTCCCTCCACAGCCACTTCCAGGTTAAGCCAGGCATTAGGTCTGATCTTTTCCCACTTGTTAACAGGCTGCAAGAGCACCCAGTTGAACAGGACTAAAGGAACTTGGGGGGCAAACTTATCATGCTACAGCACTGACGCTTCCAAGGAAGCCGACCAGCCAAGCTACAAGTGCAGTATCTGACGGGGACGTCCCACATGCCACCATGTATCTGAGCGTCCTCTGGTGCAGTTCACCTACCTGCTTCCCTTCATCTGAGGTCACTTGCAGAGATGGAGGCAGTGGGGAGGAAGGTACGCTCGGAGCTACTCACCACCACGAAGAGGTAGCGCTCGGAAAGCTCCCAGCTGGTCGGGAAGATGTTTGTCTCTTCAGACAGCTTTAACAGGATGTCCCGGGCTTTGCCCATGTTCTGGGAGTCACTTACGATGCTGAGTTTGGTCACTGACAAGAGGGAGTCTGCTTCCTTCTGGAAACCTGGGAAAGAGATGTGTCGGAGAAAGGAGTTCAACTTGTGAGCGCGGTCATCCCTGAGCCCTCCAGGCTCTTGCAAGGTTCCTTATTCCCCTTCCACCTTGGGCTGCTGCATTCCCAACTTGCTAAAACAAACTAGCATTTCCCTGAGGCACATTCCATGTCTGCACTTGGGGCAAGTATAAGCTTGCTGGTGGGGAAAAAAAGTCATAAAAACCTTCAGAGCAGGTTTGTTGCTAGTTTTCCAGACAAGGTGTATGAACATCCACGCTCAGGGTGTTGATTCAGCCTTTGCATGTTCCTGATGCTGCCAGAGCTTTCAGGGCTGGTGGGGCTTCCTGAGCACCCCAGTGACTACACCTATATGTGAAGGCAAGAGTGGTAAAAAACCTGCGGCAGTAATGGACGCATAGGTAATTGTTTGTGTAGCAGTCAGCATGTCTTACAGGAAGGGTATTGAGCGAAGGAAAGGGGGAGGAGAAACAATGCAGGGATCTTTAAATGTAATGGCTACCAGCAACTTTTTGTTCAGCTCCAGGGAGCTGGTGGTGATGCGTCTCATCTGAAAACTATTTTGAGGAAAGAGGGATGGTCTTGTGATTAAAGCACAGGTCTAGATAACAAAAGATGGCAAGTTCCACATCTGGTTGCACGTCTAGCTGTGCTAAGGCTAAATGATCCCCGGCCTTGGGCTTCCCCACCCTTTGCAAAACAGCTCCCGAGCCATTGCAGATGTGAGGGAGATGTGGGACAGCCTTTGCCAACATGCAGGAACAGATGTACGGATGTCAGGTGATCCCTCCCATGTTTGGTCTGTACAGGCTGTGTGAGCACCTGGGTGAAGATGTACGCTGATACCTAGTTATGAATTTATAATGTTCCTCCCATCTCTTTTGCTCCCAGTGGTAATATCCTTGAACAGCCCAACAAGTGCGCTTGACTCACATATCCTCCTCTCATTAGCTGCCAACCACCTCCAGAGCATGACGCAAGTCACCGAGCTGATGTGCCGGCATGGCACATCTCCTTGGCCCGAGGGTCACGCACTGTGTGCGAGGCAGTTGGGAAAACCACATCACACCCACCACTGCCTTCTCCCGAGGAGCAGCAGCTGAGCGCACAGGACCGGTGGGTGCAGTTCACTCTTTGCTGGCTAAGAAATAGCAGGAGTAGGAGGGCCACTGTTGAGCAATTTCATTTGGTAAAAGAATATTTAAAATTCACTTGGTAGCAAACAAAGTGAGTGCTTTAGCTCTGATCAGCTGGTATGGGCTACGGAAGGAAAACAGATGTATCTGCATTTCAAATTTGAAAGGAATATTCATTTCTCCCTGCTTATCTTGACTAGAAAAAATACAGGGTGAACTCCCAGGTATCCCTGCTAAGTTTCCACGAGGAAGCTTGAAATGGATGACTGTGCAAGCTGTTATGGGCTTGAAAGCCTCTCCTGCTGGTTGTAGTTCGTGGGCTTTTCCACGGACCTGAAGATGCGGTGGCTCCGTCTCCTCCCACCCGTTCCTGAGCTCTGGGAGCCTCCTGTGTGGGCTACCTGATGGCACTGCCCGGCAACCTTGTCTTATTTTTCTCCCTTTCTCCTCTGCCAGCCTGATTTTGTGGAGCTCTTCCAATCCTCCCATTTGGTACCACAGAAATGACATCCTTTTATCCTCTGTCTTACCTAAATCCTCCAAAATGTGTTTCCACCTGCTTCTCACTTCTTTTCGGGTCTGCCGTAAGGTATAAATATCGTAGTTGAGCTTTTGCCACTCCTGCAAAGCAAAAGGATAAGAGATATTTAATCATTTCCATGCGGGGAGGTCTCTGCTGCTTTTGTAGGAATTTCAGCTTTTAGAAAGGGAGCCAGAGTTGAACTGTTGATGTTGGCACTGAGGGATCAGTGTGAATGTCGATGGCCAGGCTGCTGCTGCCCCTGGAAGAAATTCCACTGACCAGCAAAGAGTATTTTAGCTTGCCATTTGGCACAGCACCTCTGTACCTTCTCCGCATATACAAAACGGGCTTCCAGGTACCCTGAAATCACATTACAGAAAACAGCTTAGGCGTTGCTGATGGCAGAAGTTGTCTTCTCAGTCAGACAGGGAGAATATGAAACTGCTGCTCTGCTCTGTGCTAGAAATTATAACGCTGTCCTAGGCTGCAGAACAACATGAACTTCCAAATGTAGCTCATTTGAGAGACTTCAGTCTTTGGTCCAAAGCCCTTTACCCCAAACCTTGACACCCCAGCTAATATCAATACCTGAGCTTGTGAAAATACCTTATTCGGCCTTTAACAGCTTGGGAAAGCACGACCATATATTAATGACTACCTTCTATAAACTATTGCAACACCTTATTTTCATACCCTTGCAGCTAAACTGGCATGGCACATTTTCTTACAGCTGACGAGAGCCCCTGGGAAACTAAAAGTTTGAAAAAAAGTTACTGCTCTCAGCACGGTCACACATATAGTGGCTTCTCCAAACCGCTCAGCCCTCTGTTTGGCATTTACCTGGAGTAGGTAGGTTTTCAAAAGTACGGGAAAATGAGAGAAGTAGCTATTTTTAAAGGCTGGGGTACCATTTTTTAAACAGCAGAGGGATGCATGTGGATGGCTGAGGGCTGAGCTGGAGTCATTTGACACAATAACTATTAGTGGCTGCCAGCTGCTGCGGTTCATGCCTCATTTAACCATACAGCTTTTGCACTTGACCTCAAGCTTTATATAATGGGACATTGTCTAAAGGGGAAAGTTTTGAGGTTATTTATTAAAGTTCTACCAGCACAACGAAACACATCTGTACAAGTACACATTCCCCTGGAAAAGAGTGTTTTCTGCAAGATAAGAGGAGTACTTTCCCTAGCTGAGTTTAATCAATGCACACGCTGCAAGGGATGCATTTATAAACGTATCCACGCAGTGGGCGTAACATCACTCAGATGATTTCCCACCACTAACAACCTTAATTAATCTCATTTCTCAGCAGCAGATTACACAGATGGACTCTTGCAGAATAAACGGGTGTTAATCTGTGCCATCTCCCTGGGCTTTTCCTGTGTGACACGCTGGGTTCAAAGGGGTTAAACAACACCCATGAAGGTTGCCTGTGCTTCAGAAATCCCACTGGCTTTCTGATACCTACTTGACTCAATTTGCTAAAGAGTTGGAGATCTCTTAGCATTTCTTTTCCTGAACGTGGCTGACACGCCACGACTGCAGAGAATTAAATGTTTTCTTGTTGCTCAGCGATAGCTGCAGGAACCCCTCGGAGATCACGCTTTGGAAGCAGCAGCTGGAGGGGTTAAGACAGTGGTGAATTCGTGTCAGGAGAGCAGGGGAAACGCGGCTCCGCCTGCAGCCGCTCGCTGCACCACTCGTCCTCCCGCAGAGCAAAATCCCCTTCGTTTTCAGCTTTGCCTTGCCGCTCGCAACGAGCTAGCTTTGCCGATGAGAGCTCCGTTTCTCTCTTGACTGCAGCAGCACTTGAACGCAGCTTTACTGTCTGCACGGGAGGGCAGCTTGCATCAAAACGCCTCTTCAGCCCTTTGCTGGAGAAAGGAGGCAGGGACAAGGCTCCTCTTTCCCGTGACACCAGCTCAGTTAGGAACTGAGCTCCTCTCAGTGAAAAAGAGAAGAGGGCTTGATTGTATTAAGGCTTTGTAGGAAGTTTATGGCAAAGGTGAAAGTTTTGAAAAAGAGAACAAAGGCTGCACGACGCCTCGCTCCCTGCTGGCAGGGATCCTCCGGAACATCTCAGCCTGCCCGTGACCCCACAGTACAAGCAGAAAGGAGAGCAAAACAGTCTGGGCAAGCTGGCGGGGAAACAAGCTGCCTGGCTTTGCTCTCCTGCGGAGATAAACAAGTGCTTTAACGCACCGGATCGATCAACACAGCCGCTGTGATCCCAGGCCTGCTTCACGCTGCTGAATTAGCGAGTCGGCAGGCTGGGAAAGATGCTCCTCTCCCTGAAACGTGCCTTGCTGGCGCTGGGCAGAAGCTTTCAGGGCTGCGGGGATTTACCCACCATGGTAGCGAACCAGACTCCTCGCTAAGCTCAATGGCGAGCAGTGCTTAGCGTGCAGGGAAGCTGCTCCTGATTTTCTCTGGATTAACAGCAGCGTGTTCTCCCTTGGCTATTTTTGCTTTAAGGGAATCTAGGTTATGGCTTTCTTGTACATCGTAGTTAGTGAGTTGCCTTATGGAAGTGAATACAGTGCATATTTAGTCCCAGAGGATGTCTAACACTGTCCTGACGATTTAGAACTTGGGCTGTGTGCAAAGGAGCGGCTTTGGTACAGAAAATGATACTTAACAGTGGTGCCTAGGGGGGGACACCTCTGGTTTTAGTGGTATTTCTTTTGCCTGAGCATGGAGCTGGACGTATTTATGTTTCTCCAGAGAAAGCTGGGAGGAGGAGGATGCATATGGTGCCAGCCATTGAAAAGCAACTTGAGACAGCAGAGACTGTCAGGGTGAGGGTGGGCAGCTCCAGCCTGAGCTCTCAAATGGACACATGCCCTGTTCTCCACCAGCCTCAGAAACCACCGAGTTTTCCCAGGTGATTCCTTGTAGCAGAGACATCCCAAATGCTGTGGGCAGGGGGTTGTCCTCTGTGTTACTTTAATGAGGGAAATAAAGGTAAAAGCATCTTTCCACCCCCAAAATTATTCTTAAAAGCATTTCCCTTGAACTACACAGCAGAGGAAGAGCAAAGCTTGGTCCTGCCCGCGTCTCCACATCAGAGGCTTTGGGGAGGGTGTTCCCCATGCACATCCCGTGAGTAACCAAGACGTGGCCTGCCGAGGGAGCGTTCGGATGGGGCCAGGCAGCACCACGAGGCCAAGGCATCTCAGCACCCGCTGCCGGGCAGCCCCAGGGCAGGCAGCCGGGG